AGGCAAACAGCACTGCAGTGCTATCCCTGTCCCGAGGCAGTGGCAAGAAGCGCTGCTGTGGACGAGCTCTTTCTCCAGAGAGGTGTGTTGGTTGTGGGGGTTCAGATCCCCCACGGGCAGAGCAGGGGTTTGTATCCAGGTACTTCATATCCGGAGTGAGTGTTGCTGCTACTCGTCTTCTGCAGCAGCCTGTCTCCTTCAGCTGCTGCCAGCTGGTGAATGGTGTCTGAGTCAGCCCCATCCAACTGTTTTTTATTTAAAAATGGCTGTAGTGGAACAAGCCCACGATTTAATCAGAACGAGCAAACCAAGAGTTTTTGTACGTTATTTTGTGATAAATTAACATCTGGGGTTTTTTTGTTGGTGGCTCTTGTGGGCTTTTATTTCTTGATCTGTCTGGGGTTCTTTTGACTGTTTTAATCCATCCAGTGAAGTCATGTAAAACAATCCATAGATCCTTATGGATAAATTGCTGCAGTAAAATGCAGCCCTCTAGCCAAAACTAGTTGGACTCTGTTCTAACTCCTGCTTTGTTTAGCAGGGCACTGTACAAAGCCATAAAAATTGCTGTCCTGCTGAGTCCTTTCCTTGTATATACATATGCACACTCTCTGTGAGTACCACTGGTTCTGCTACTCTCCAGCTGTCTTCTACATTGCACACCCTCTTGTAGAGGAAAAATGTTCTTTTGACATTTATATATACATATTAAAAAGTACTAGGAGGTTATTGTCAGGTGCAACCACAGTAGATAAATGTAGGTTAAATTCTGTGGAGTAATCTGACTTGTTTTACACTATGCAGTTTGTTTCTAACTCAAGTTGGAGAGCTCTGAGCAATAAAATCAATGAAAAGTTTGGAAAAATCACACTGAGAAAAAGCTAGTCAAGGTGCATTTGTGCAGAGAGGAGCATTACTCTAGTGATACAGGGATGCTGTGCTGAGACAACTGTCATGAAGGTGCAGTCTTAAACGAGGATGAGCAGTAATGAAATCCAGTTGTGGCAGGAAAGATGTAGATTGAGATTAGGGTGGTGGAAGAAATAGCCAAGGGAAGCTGCAAAACTGTAATTGCTTACAGGGAAAAAAAATAGGGTGAAATCAGATGTCTGCATCAGCCTGTGAACTAGCTCAGAACTGGTGGCTTCACCTTTGACATCTTCTAGCCCAACAATTTCACTGTTGTGTAGACAGAGCCTAGATCCAGCTTGGCAATGCTTCCTCTTGTTGGTTTGGATATCCTGTGTGTCATCCCTGTGCAGCATTAATGAGGCATGGAAATTCCTTCTTTACAAGAAATGTGTACGGTTACTGGTAATCCTAATAGAGAGGCATGCAGTGGGAATCATAGACAAAGACAGATTAGTATGAGTCATGAAGAGAGTCAGTCATGTTTGTAAAAGCTCTGCAGTAAAGGTGCTTTCTAAGTAGTCTCTATTGTGCTGAGTGTGTGTGGCTGTAATTTGGAGGTTTTAGCCATTTAGTCATTTTTAGTGACTTTGGAATCACTGGATATACTTTCTACATGATTCTTTTTTCCATTTTTCCTATGAAAATGAGATTCAATAGTCTAATATAGTTTAGCATATCCCTAGCAGCTGGATGCTGTTGACATGACAGCACTGTGCTCTTATTTCTTGGCCAAAATTATTATCTCTGGAGTTTCATCTTAGCAAGCTGTTAGTTTGTGCAGTAATCTATCTTGGTGTCTGTCCTTGTGTGGGATTCTAGCAGACAGCTTTTCTGAGCCCAGTTGGATGTTATTCTGCATCCTTGTTGCCTACTGGGGTGCCGATATGTTGATCGTTGCAGCACTTCTGCGATTCTGGGCGGGTCCTGTTTTGGAAAGCTGAGGCATGGGCCACAGCTGTGCTGGAAAGTGATACTGACCTGACAAGGATCTGATCTTGCAGGGAGATGAAGTGAATGACTACATGGTCATGAAGTCTGGAAAAGGGGTGTGGGGGGCAAAAAACTCAGGCAGCAGAAGTCAGGACTTTCAAGGGCTGGGGAAGACGGTGCTTTGTTTTGACCCTTGTAGGAAGGCTTTCCTTATTTCAAAATGTCATTCAAAATGTCTTTAAAAATGTCGAAAATTTGTCTTCCTTGGTTTCAGCTTGGGACATGTATTTGTTTTCTTTGTTTCAAAGCTAATCATGTGCTTAAGGTTATGCTTAATCCTCATGACGAAAAATGGTCTTAGAGCCCTGCCTGAGCATTTGGTGCAGAAATGCTGGCTGTTTGTGGCACTGGTGTGTTTCTCTGTCCTGCCACATTGTCCGTGTGGCTGTGCTGTCCCAGGGATGGGAAAAGGAGCAGTGATAATTGTTTGAACAGAAAGTGGGGAACAGACTTTTCTATAATGCTTAAACTGTAGGCAAGCACGACAATTACCATATGCAAGACAGAAGTCTCTTTTGCCCATTGTTATTAATTATTGGTATTATGCTATTAACAGTTCATATGTGGATGACATAAATATCAGAAAAATTATGACCATCATGGTCAAAGGGTATTTTGTGCACTAAGCGTGGTAAATAAAAACCCCAAAAGAACTCAAAAAGCATCCAGTGATACAGAAAACAAAACTCTGGGCTAGGCTGGAAGTAGTTGTTTCACTTTGTCTTCTGAAAACTGCTTCCTCCCAATGAGGAGGAGCAGCCCTGGTTGCTGGCTTTGCTTTGCTCTTTTCTTTTCCCCACCCCGTGGACATTGCCCCTGCAATTTTCCTCTGTGTGCTGGGAAGGTCATTGTATAGGGCAGTTCCTAGTCTGTATGGTTGGTTTTATTTTTTTTCTTCTTCTCAGGAGAACTCAGATTGAAAATGTCTGCGAAAGCATTTCTAAGGCAGGAACACAGGTGTTGAGTAGTGCCAGCCGTTGGAAGAGGCAAGGGACTTCAGGCTCTCAGTTTAGAGGACTGTCTAGTCACCTAAAAGCTGTAGGGAAGTTACTCAGTGACCAGGTTCTCACTAATGGTATTAGAGGGTTGGTAATCTCATTGTTGCAAGTACGTGCAGAAATTTATCAAGCCTTGTGGTGTTTGAGGTTTTCATTTAAAGCATTTGATCCTGGAGGCAAATAGGTAAGGCAGTCTCAAGGGCTTGCTAAGACTTTTGACTCCAAGATTATGTAGAAAAGCCAGAAAGGCTGCAAAAAGGTACAAGACCAACAAAACTCAAATAAAAGCACCATGAGGTATCTCTTTCAGTACTCTCTTCTGCCCTGCTCCCCCTAGCAGTGAGATTTTTGATGCTTGGTGTTTGCAGACCTGGAGCTGCAGTGTTCCCAGTGGCAGGGAAGGATGATAGGCTGTGCTGACTGCTCAATCCCCAGGGCTTTTGCAAAGCATTGCAATGAAAATCAGGCCCTGCAAAACGATTAGATTGCTGTAAAAATCTGGAGATTTTAAAAGGGAGGTTTAAAAATAGGACAAGTAGTTTTTGTGGGAAATTGAGTCACTAGTGCACTTCTCTCTGTATCTGCGATGGCTAAAGTTTTGAGTTGGGTGGGTAGGTTGGTTGAGGGTCTCTGGTGTGCTCATCTGCCATGAGAGCACCCTGCTGACCCAGGGTACGCATGGTGTGCTCAGCTCCTCTCCCCACAACCCTCACTAGGTGAGCCCCTGGGTCTCTGGGCTTTGGCCAGTGCCGTTAACCATCACTGCGGCAACAGCAGCTGGCATGGACCAGTCTGGATGTTTAGGTGCTCCAGGGATGGTGAGCAGTCAGAGCCTGGTGCACCCTGCAGATGTGTGTTTCTGAGCCAGCTGTTCTCCTGCGCTTGCCTGGCACACTGCCTGGCAAAAGTGGCTGCAGGGCAGGGGCTCCCCTGGGGTGCTGTGCTGCTCTGCTGGGTTTGCTAGGGTAAACTTTTTTTTTTCCTTGGGGGTGGAGGGTAATAAGCAAGAGGATTCCCAACGTGGTATATGGGCAGAGCTTGGTCATGCAGCCGTGCGTGATGTTCCACTCAAGGAACAGAACTTTGGGTACCCTTATTTCTAGATTATTTTTTTTAATATATACGTAATTTTTTTTGTCATAAACAGTAAAAGCACAAGTGCTGTAGACACTGTGATCTTCCATACACTGAGATAAGGAAGGGCGAATAGTGAAAGTAGCAGAAAACTTGCCAACTGACCTGTCCTCAGACTTTTGCCTGGGGCTGGCGTACGGTTCATACCAATACAAACTTTGCTTGCTTCAGCCAGGGCTGGGCTTAATCTTTGCTAAGCATCAAACTGATGCTAATAACTTTTCTAGTCCTCTTGAATGTTCAGTCAGTGCTCTTTGGTGCATTATATTGTGTCTGTATTTTTAGGAGATAGTCAGGTTTGGTCCATTTGGTGATAAACCGCCACCCATAAAATAAAATAAGATTATTTAACAAGCAGTTTATTCTGTGGCTCCACTATTTCCTGTCAGAGCTGTTCCTGCATTCAGTGCTGCTTGAGGATGGCTTGAAATCTGTGAAGATTGTTGCAGCTTTTACATATTCCCTAAAAGCTCTAAGTCTATGATGATCATGCCAAGGATGGAGAAGAGGTATCCAACCAGATACTGCCTGCCTCAGGCTACAGATGCCTTCTGTGCTGCTGAGGGGCAATGAGTTGTAAAAGGTGGGGAGGTTGGGAGAGGGCCATGACTACATATATAATGTCTGTTGGTCTGTGCTTTTGGTATCTCTGGAATACCTCATCTGCAGTAATTGTTGAGACATACTCAGAGATTCACCTGTTACCATTGTCTGCAATTAAAATTGAGGATTGCTTTGTTGTTTGGCTGCTCAATAAACTTCCTGAATTGAGTCACGACTTAATGGGTGCCTTCAGAAATGAAGGAGGCTGTATGATGGGCTTAACAGACCAAAAATCTGAATTGGGATGACAAACTTGAAAGGAATAGCTGAGATACTTTTAAAATGTGAAATAAATAACGCTGGTGAAGGTAAACTGGAGCAGAACTTGTCCTACACAAATTCCATGTATGCCTCTCTGGGTGCATGCAGCAAATGGATTTCTGTGTCGTCTGTGCTGAACTGGAAGAGCTGAGGCATTTTCTCAGTCCAACACCAGAGACTTCTGAGAATGTGGATGTGAATATTCCTTCTGACAATGTGGCATCTGTGGGCATGTGTGGAGAGGCTGGTGATACTCATACATGCTAGTAACAAAACACCTTTTTTTTTTTTTTTTTTTTTCTTTTTTAGCTTCCTTTACGATCTCTCTTCGTACAGTGGACAACATCACAGTTATGATTCAACTGAGACCCAGTGTTTCACCAAGCTGTCAAATTCGTGTTAAAAATGTCATCAGGTCTGAACTCAAGATAAAGCCTGGGGAGAATGTGACTTTTACCTTCACTTGTAGCACTCCAGAGAAGTATTTCGTCATGGAAATTCAGAAAAATATTGGTAAGATACAGGTTTTTCATTTTTCTTCCAATGGTAATTTTCCTCCAGTAAAACCACATACCTTTTTTCCCCTGTTATTGTATTAAGGTATCCCCTGTACCCTTGGGTAAAAAGAAATCTTTGAACACTGATCAATAAACTTGAATTACTGAAACTATGCAACTTAAAGATGTCTGTATTATGGCTGACAGAATTAATGTTAACTTGGCTGTTTCAGAAACAGTTAAATGATTGTTGCATCAATTCCTTGCTGCATTCCCTTTTCCCACGGTTTGTAAACCCATCAAAGAATCTTTTTTCCTGTCAAATGCCTCTGAGCACAGATAATGATATATTACCCATGTTTATTTGTTGAACAGCTTGAATGTGTCTGTAAGGGCAGCAGAAACATTGAAGACACGCGCGTGCTTCCTTGTATTCAGTGAACATTGTTGAAGTCAAGAAACTGAAAATTTTGAAGTGTTGTAATTAAACATTCGTTTGCATTGAATGTTGTCCCTGATGTATGTATGTTAATGTACTCTTTAATGGCATGAATGGGATGGTGTTCGAGGATAGTTCTTTCCACATTTTGGAGTTTGATTCATATGACTAATACAAATAGTAATGTTCACAATATTTCATGATGTATTTGTAAGATGCAGTTGTGGTATTTCCTCTTGTTAATGGGAGCCTAGACATAGATAGATTAAAGATTTTTAGTGTCCAGCTTGAAATACCACTAATTTGGATTTTTCAGAGAAAAGTTTTCAAGGTTCTCCCCAGAATCCTGCAGTGGCAGTTGTTATTCATTGCTTCTGCAAAATCTGAGGCCCAGGTTGTTCAATAGGGCATCAAGAAAATGAAGATACAGTTCATGACAATGTAGTAAAAGATTAAAGATGAATGATTTGCCAGGAATTCTCTGAGCGAGATGGGGTAAAATTGGTTCTCTAGATCCTTGACTTCCAGTTCTTCTGACACTGTGTTTCTCCCTTTTGCCCATTCAGTGTTCTACCCTGTTCACTAAATACCTTCTAAATTCTTCAGCAAACAAGGTGGGAATAGTAGAGACAATGAATCCCTTCTATTAGTGAGCCTGAGAAAGCAGGTTTATCCTGTCTACTGTATGGACTAGGAGTCCTGTTTAGAGAGAGCATGTGACCGTGTTACAGGAGTGTCTTTTAATGCATGTAGAAGAGAAGTGCAACCTAAAAATTGTGAAAATAGCAATGGAGGGGAAAGTGTCAAATTCCTCCTTTACTTCAGTGCCTTCAAGAGTGTATCATGGCTGTTCTCTCTCTGCATTTAGACTGTGTGTCTGGCCCATGTCCCTTTGGAGATGTTAATCTTTACCCACTGGGGCTACCTCGGCTTAATAGGACTTTCATCTGGGATGTGAAGGCGAGTACAAAGGCTGGACTTGAACTGAAATTTTCTACTCCGTGGCTAAGACAGATTGAACCAGGAGAGACGTGCCCAGATTTCGTTAGCTACAACATCAACAGCTGTATTGATATGGCCACAGTCAACATTGGCACCTTCTGCAGGAACGGCTCGGTGTCTCGTGTCAAGCTGCTGGGAGGAGTCGTCATGTCTCTGCACCTCCCATGGGACTCACCTCTCACCACCTCAGGCTTCAACATAGCTAACAGGGCTTCCATAAAACGTAAGTAAGGAGTAGTGTTTCCTTGCCTGTAACTGCCTTGTGCAGATTGCAGCAGAATTATTTAAACCTTGCTTCTTGAGTGGTTACTTGCTATCCCTAACTCCCTTCCACTTCATCTTTTCTAAAAACTATTGTTGTATGTGTTTTAGTTTGGTGACTAGTGCTCTTCTGGCATCAAAATATCTTAGTTTGGTTGCTTAATAATTAGGAAAACTGTTGTGTTGCTGCTTTTGGTGCACATTACTGATTTTTTCAATTTCTTTAAACTTCCTAAAACATACCTTCTCCTTTGTTGTTGTGTTTTCAGCTAGGTAAGACTAGGTAGCATGATTAGAGTAAGCCAAGAAAGTTATTTGCTGTTTGCAGTGTGTAGTTGGGTTTGTTTATTTTTACATAAAGCTTCCTTAACTTCTGGAGCCTCAAACCAATGCCTCTCTTCAGGAGAGGAGGGTCAGAAAAGGGGAAGCAGTGCCAGGAAGGCACATGAGGCTGCTTAAATACAGCTACCTGTTTCAACCTGCGCAGTAACATAAAACATTGTGTAATAATCTTCTTAAAATACCTGGAATATTATATAGCAATCAGTGGGTTACTTTGTGATCTTGTGACAAACCCTTTTTGGGACATGTTCTTGCTCCATGCTTGAATTCTGAGGTTGTTGCTATCAGTTATAAAAGGAACCTGGTCCAGGTTTGAGCTTCTAGAACATGAGTTTTTTGTAACTTCTGGCACTCCTTGCAGTTGCACATGGTCGCTGGAGTCCTAGAACAGGACCATAATCTCTGTGTACCCAACTTCATGCTGCCAAGAGTCATCCAAGCATAAAGTGTCTCTCACAGCCTCCATGGTTCGCTTTTGTGTTTTATCATGCATATTGGAGGCTCTTTGCTGGTGTGCTCTTGTTAGATCTGGGAGGTTTTTGAATGGAGAGCGCTGTGCTGGTATAAAAGCACACATCTTTTGTTTCCCAAAACCCAGTGAAACAGGAGCAGTTGTCAGGCATGTATTTGCTCTTGCAAAACCAGGAGGAGATGCAGGAACTAGAATCTTTTGTTTCCAAAAGATAAAAGCTTTGTCTGTCCACGTGCTTGGAAGGTGAACCCAGTAAACTGAAAATGCGGCATTAATGGATCTCTTACCTTTTCTGTAATTGAAAACATCAACTTGAGCGTGTATTCTAATCTGAGGGGTTTGTAATAACCTAACCTATAGCTGAAGTGGATGATCTCAGTGTCAGAATAAAAGTACTGGGCTGCTGGGGTGCTAGATATGCCCGTGTGTCTTCATTAATTGCAACTTGTCTTGTATGGTGTTTTTTTTCCCCCCTGTTTTAGGGTTATGCATTATTGAATCCATTTTGAAGGGGGAGTCTTCAGTCACCCTGATGTCCCCAAACTACCCGCTGGGCTTTCCAGAAGATGAGCTCATGACTTGGCAGTTTGTGGTTCCTTCCAACATGAGAGCGAGTGTGTTTTTCCACAACTACAGCCTCTCCAACTGTGAAAGGAAAGAGGAGAGGGTGGAGTACTACCTCCCCGGCTCCTTCAGCAACCCAGAGGTGTTCAAGCTAAGTGACAGCCAGCCTGCCAATATCGCTGGCAGTTTCAACCTGTCCCTGCAGGGCTGCGATCAGGATGCCCAGAACCCAGGCATCCTCCGCTTGCTCTTCCAAGTCATCGTTCAGCATCCACAGGTTGATGAGAGTGAGTACTTGCCTGCTCCTTCTGTTGCTTTTGCTTACAGATGCCTGGGCTAAGCACCACAAGGAAGAGAAATGCCAGGATTTTTTGTCATTTTTCTTGGATCCTCCTTGAGTTTAAGGAGGTGGGTTGCCATGCAATGCTGAGGCCTGTTTTACTGCCCTGGGTACCACCAGCCATCGTTATGGCGAGGCAGATGGCAATTTACAATGTAGTATAAAGCTCCATCATAGGTTTTTACTCTGTAGCCTGTAAACAGAGATTCCTTTCCTCTTCCAGCATCCCCATCATGTAATTGAAAAATGCTTTTAACGCTTGCGGTATCAGGTTTTCCACATTGTGTAAACAAAGCTAAGCACCGGTTAGCCTTTCCTTGCCACTGTGTTCCCCCTGGGTTCCCAGTCCAGCTATCGGGCAAAGACTGTAACTGCTGGATTGGAATTGTCTGGGCTCATGTGTCACTGCCTGTTCTCCAGTACAGAAATCAAGTTCAAGCTTATTCATACAGCTTTATTTTCAGCTATAAGATTCAACGTTTTAAAGATAATTCTTAAAATGTGAGCCCAGGTTCTGCTCTGTACCTAAACAGTCACGCTTAGCCAGGTGATACCTGCTGTCATGGCTGGACAGGATCCATGGCATGAACTGGTGAAAATGGAGATGTAAAATTGTCTTCATACTACTAATAGGATCAATATGCATTTCTTTTCTTTCTTCCTTCCTTCCTCTGAGTTTTACTTTGCTTCCTAGGGAAGCCTGAAACATCATCTGGTGTGAAGTCACACTGGATATGGAAGGTGTCAATAAGGTACTCCAATGATGCTATCCCCTACACTTTTAGATGTTCTTTAGGTTTCTTGCCACTTGTTGCTACACTAAGAATTTTTTTTCTGTTTTCTTGCCCCAAATTCAGACAGGCTTAATGCAATGACTTGTAATACCATACCATCTGTCTAAAAACAAATAAAAGGCCTGGCTAGGTAGTGAGCTTTGAAATAAGTGATTTATCCTCTGGCTTCTTAGCTCTGACCTCCGTTCATGTTGGAGATGAATAGTCAAGGTGCCCTCACTGCAGAGGAGCAGGTGGAGGGAAATACAGACTCCAGAATACCACTGCAGCAGGAGCTCCTTAGTGGCTTTCCAAGTCAGTTTAGAGGGAATGAAGTTTGGATGGCCTGTACCTTGAATCTCATATCTAGAAAGGGTCTATAGCATCTCACCACTGTAATCCTCAGTTCTTTATCTGTCTAGCTTGGCTCCGTTCATAAACAGCAAATCCTCCTGAAATTGTTGTTAACCAAATCATGTTTGCTTACATTTATTGTGTGTTGCATCTTGAAAGCTAGACGGGGTGAAAACATTGTATTCCGTTAATCAGCTTTATCTCCCTTGTACTTTGGAAAGCAAAGCAGAGTTTTAATATATTTATGGCCAGTAGACAAGACGATGATCACCTAAAAAATAAAAAACAGATTGTCATTTATTGAATGAAATGCAAGTAATAAACCACTTGGATTTAAGAGACAGCAGTGGTTTCTCTAGGGATTTTATAGGATTTCATGAGTGATTTTGTGGTTATGTAAGTTCCATCAAAGATTCGAATTCAGCCCTCAGGATAGTACTGAAACTTTTTTTTTAAAAAAAAAAAAAACAACCAAAAAATCCTGTCTGCAGTGTGCAAGTTAAACTTTACTCTTATTAAAAATGCATTGTGGTCTGCATCTTCTCAAAGCTTCCCAAACATTTGGGTATTCTACAGCTGTCTATGGTGCTTGTCATTAAACAAGAGGAAAAATATAGCTCTTTACAGTTGAACTAACTTCTTCATCTAACCCTCTCTGTGTTTAGCTGCTGCCAAAAAAAAAAAAAACATTCTGAAGAATGAGTAACCTTGCCATAGAAATCCTAGGTTCTGTGCTTGGTTGTGCCAATGACTTGGAGAATTCCGCCTGACCTCTTGCCTTTTTGTGTCTGACTTCCCACACAGGAGAAAGCTATTTTATTCACCTTTTGTTTATGACTTTGAGATCCATAGCTAAACCCAGAAAATTAAGAGTAATAATAGTGTAGGTATATGTTTGGGGGTTTTAAATTATTGTTTGTTTATTTTTTAATCTGTCCTTTATAGAATCATAAAATCACAGAAAGGTTTGGGTTGGAAGGGACCTTAAAGAGCATCTAGTTCCAACCCCCCTGCCATCGACAGGAACACCTTCCACTGGACCAGGTTTCTTTCTCTGCCATCAGAGACATGCGCCCATGTGCACTGTTAACAGCATAAGGATGCAGTGTGGATCCAACATCTGTCTTTCCACATGATAGCTAATCTTTGTGAACTAGGCAGTGATCTATAATCTTGGATTTTTTCCTTTTTCCTTGTTTTCCTCCCTTCCGGATGTTCTGAGTATTTGCAGCTTATGTGGGAGAAGGTGTTTGTCGTCCCTGCTTACCCCTGTTCCAGCTTGCTGTAGCTGCCCAGATCATACATAATGGAAGA